GCTGGCAGAGCATCTTGACTTACAGGAAGTGGCCTTTAATGAAGGAATTGAAGGACAGCAGAAGCTTGCCAGGTGAGCAGAGGTATTTTTGACACAGGCAGTGTTTTTAAAGATTCCTGATTATAAAGCCAGTCTAAGGAAACAGGAACTAGCAGGTTTTCCAGATTTGTTTTTTAGGAAGCTGTCTCTGACATGAGTGAGTAGGATGGGAACAAGAGGGGCAGAATGAACCTGACCTTGGCTGGGTGCAGTGGCACACACCTGCAATCCTCCCAGCTTACTCAGGAGACTGGAGCAGAAGAATCCCAAGGTCAAGATGAGCCTGGGCAACTGAGGACCTGTCTCAGAATCAAAAGGGCTTGAGATGTGGTATAGCTCTTCCTGGGTTCAATCCCCACTTCTTCCATCAATGCCAAAAATAAATAAGTAAATTAATTAATTTTAAAAAAGACAGTGACTAGACACCAGAAGTGCGCACATGAGAACTTAACAGTAAAAAAGACTGGAGAGACAGGTTTCACAAAGTCATTGTGACATAACGTGATAGGGCCTTGTTGTTTGGGTGTGTTGAGCTCCAGGGCAGAGCATCTATGTGAGTAAAATTGAAGAAGACCGACCTTCCTCCCTCCCATCCTGCCTTCCTTCTTTCTTTTCTTCCTTCCATCCTTTCTTCCATCCTTCCTTGTAAACTAGGGCTCAAACCCAGGGCCTCTGAATGCTAGCCAAGCACTCCACACTAATTCCTCACACCCCCAGCCTTTAGTTCTGCTGCCTTTAAACACCATAGCTAGGTGTTTTGTTTCAGCCAAGTCTGAAAGTCTCAGTGTCTTTGGTTCTCCCCACCCCCCACCCAGTACTGGGGATTGAAGCCAGGGCCTCACAACATAATGCTAGTCAAGTTCTGTACCCCTGAGCGACCTTCCCAGCCCTTGTCACTTTTTCTGCAATAAAATCTTGCCACGTTGCCCAGGCTGGCCTTGAACTTGTTGTCTTCATGCTTTAGCCTCCTTGAGTAGCTGGGATTATAGACATGCACCACCATGGTAGGCAAAAATCTCGATCTTAATAAGCTTGATTTTATTCCTAGCTCATTGTTTAAACCATTTCCTCCTTTATTATTTTTCTTTTTATGGGATAGCATTGTTAGCAGGGATAGATTGGTGATGATGAGGTATGAGTTGCTTTGGGGCACAGTATTAATTTGGAAGCTATGCTGTGTTTTTTTAGTCAATTAGTAGTAACCACCTCACTCCTATTTCTTGGCTATTCAATGAAATTAATTAGTATTTCCTACACCAATGCTGTAAAATAAGTCCTGTAAAATATTTCTGCTTTTTCATCTAATGCCTTTATTTTTCCTTTCTACAACCCCCTTCCTAGAAATGCTGAGTTAGATTAAACTGGTAGATTCTTTCTTTTGAAGAAATATCATCTTGCACATGTATTCAATCAGTGTGTTCACAGTAACCTGAAAAATGACATTTGTTTGAATACAAGGATTCATAGTAGTTTTGGAGATAACACGTAAAGATTAGCGCTTCAACATTCGAAATCAAAACAAAATACATAGAACAAAATTCTCATTGTAATCCATTACATCCTCAAAGGTAGAAATAATTGAATCAAGAAGGTTTAATATGAAAAATCTTGGAGATCATTTGTACTTTCTAGGTTAGAAATAAGAGAGTCTGTTGCTTTCCTCAAGATTGTGCAGCATTAAGAATAAATTCACGAGGCTGGGGGTTTAGCTCAGTGGCATAAGTGCCTGCCCTGAAAGCAGGCAGTCGTGAGTTTGATTCCCAGTACTGATAAAAAGGAAAAAGACAAAAAAAAAAAAAAAAAAAAAAGAATAAATTCAGGTGTTCTTATCCCTGGTCATTTCCCACTCTTCAGGGTAATCCTGGCTACTTTGGTATCCAGTGTTATTAGTAACACTTGCATTTCTTAGTATGAAACTGAAGCTGGGAGGGTGTGTTGGCGGTTGAGCACTTGCCTGAGTTTGATCGCCAGTGCTACTCCGGAGGGAGGAATGAGGAGGACTGAGGGCAGGGAGGGAGAGATGACGAGATAGCAGGTCTGTGCACTTTGGAGGCTGAGCGGTAACACGCCTCTGTTCTCCAAATGTCGCCTTTCCCTTTCATACAGCATGAGACATGGGTGACGCAGACCTCAACCTATGCTGAATGTGATAACTGAACTCTCTGTCCTTCCTGTGTTCTTCCCATTAGCTGTGTGCTCCCTCAGATAATGAGATACGAATTAAAAATTCACCACCATTGTTTACACTGTTGAATTCCTACTCAATGCATTCACTATGCCAAGTTCTTTATGTGTTACCATGAGCACACATAACCCTGTCAGGAATGGGAGGAAACAGAACCACAAAGTCGTTGCATGTTCAGTGACAGGTAGCTGGCAAGCGGCAAGGTGGGCATGGACTCAAATACCTGTGTAACCGGAAACTACATTTCTCTACCCCCATACCGTGCTTTTCATCTTAATCCCTCTCAGTAAGAAAGTGTCACTTTACTGAGTTTCTAAGTGAATACCAAACCGAGAGTGCATTTCCCCTTGGTGTGGCACTGACTTATTGTGTAGTGTCATAAGGTTATCCTGGTGGCAACAGCTCAGGAATGAATTGGCTTGTATATCAGGGGCTAGAATGAATTTTCATTTCCAGTGTAATAATGACATAATCCAAGGATAAATTATAACTTGAAAAGAGTAAAGGTTAATAACCATCACAGAATCTTGTGGTTTCAGGCATGTTATTCTTGTATAAACCTGCCTCTTCCTGAAATGAAGTGATTGTTGGTGACTTAAGTACCGAATGACTTGTATTAATGTGCTGGGGCGACCATTTCAGAGGACCGTGTCTGAAACAGCAGATTATTTTTATTATCTCACAGCCAGATCATTGTTTGGCTTGTTGCTGGCAAGGGCATTCTTCCTGGCCATGGAGGGTCCGTTTGTCCTGCTGTGCTCTTTCATCTGAGAGCAAGCATAGAAAGAGAAGGGAGCTCTTCAGTGAGCAGTTTTAGGAGGACCTAATCTCATCAGGTCAGAGCCACCCTCAGGAACTCATTTAGCCATAATTACCTCTTACAGGCCCTATTTCCGATACAATTCCATTGGGGTTGAGAGCTTTGATATATGAATTTGAGGCTGCAATTGCTGAATTTTTCTTACCTTTAGAATTCTCATTTCTTAATGAGAAAGTGTATACAATCTTGAAATTATTGATCATGGGTAGGAAATATTTTAAGTGTCTGAAACTGTTAGGATAAATGAACTTTCACTTCTTACTGAAATATTGAAATTCTTATGTACTATCCTCCAGTCTAAAAGTGCTTAGCAACTGATCATAGCACTCACCAGCATGCTCTGCCATACCAAGAAAGGGTTATTTTCTATTTCATCATTGTTTGCCTGTTCAGTATATGACTGTTTACAGACACTTATTTAAAGAAAGTGCTACAGGAGGAGCTCTATTTCCTGGTAGGAAACAGAAGTGGAACAAAAATTTGAATAAAGAAATATTTTTCCTTCCAAAGATCATTTGGGATAATAACTATTCCAGTGGTGATTTATAACACAACCTTAAGGACACCTTTAACTTTCTGAATTAAAATGGTGATGACAAGAATAAATAGTAATAGCTAAACTTTACTGAATGTTTATTTAGTAATGCCTAGAGAACTATTGTAATTACTCTAAGTATTACTCCTTTAATCCTCACAATGGAAACTATGATGAAGATCGTATTCTTTATTTCTTGTTTGTTTGTTTGTTGAGACAAGTTCTCACCATGTAGCCCAGGGAGGCCTTGAACTTTCAGCAGTGCTCCTGCCTCAGCCTCCCAAGTGCTAGGATTACAGTTTGTGCCACCCTGCCCAGCAAGGAAGGTCCTATTCTTGCTCATACCTTAGCCTGATACAACTAATCCTGTGCAAGTGAACAACTTTCTCTAAACCACAGTTATGATTCTGTAAATCAAGAAGTCTTAGTTCCCACTGAATCCAGAAGAAATTATTAAAAAGACCCTTGGATATGTTCAAGTTGTTCAAGGGAAAATTTTAAAATGACCTTTGCTACACAGAAGTTAGTGCAAAAGAAATGCTAAAGTTTATGGCAGGTATCACAAAAGCACCAATGAGCTTGAAAAGCCATGGAGCTTTTGCAGAAGACCTTATGATGAAGGGCTTCTTAACATCCATGCCCACTGATCTCACCTTGACCCGTGAGGCTTACTAAAAAATGCAGATAACTTGCATGAGGCTCTGAGTACAGCTATTTCTCCCCCCCCCCCCCCCGCCGCCCCATTCAATCCCCAGTACAACTAAAACATGCACATGTTGCATATACCCACATACTTGGATGTGCATGCTGGGCTCTGTCCTGGATTTAATAAATCTGAATGTGAGGATTGGAGTCCAGGAATTTCATTTAAATAGACATTCAGCTCACCATATGTCCTCCCCACCGTGGTACATCCACCGTGATACATCCATTATTCTGACATGCATTATAATTGTGAATCCACTGCCTTAAAGGATGGACCTGCTAGGATTAAAAATGATGGCAGTTTCCCACCTGGGTAGTAATAAAACCAAAGATAGGCAAGAGGCATGGTTTGTTAGGAAGGGATCCGGTTTAATTAGGGTGAAGAGACTATTTGGAAAGCAATGAGGAGAAAAGCCAAACAAGGATATCAATCAGTGTCAGGCTTGTGCATAAAACATGCAACATATATGTCCTATTCTTTACCAGACTATAGGTTTGTATTGGTTCCAAAAGAGTAGAATCCAGTGCATCTCCTTTGGCCTTATTGTTAGCATATTATCTTAAAGGGTAGTAGCTTGGTAGTCCTTTCTTCCTGGAATCTGAGAAAAGCAAAGGCCAGCCTTGATCAATACTAAATCACATGTTTGTTAAATATGAACCCTAACTATTCAGAGTTTAAACCTTCCCGTGTTGGATTTCCCTGCTTTACCCTGAAGCTGCACGAGAAATCGTCTGGCTGGAAAGAGAAGAGCGAGCCAGGCTGCACTATGAGAAGCACCTGGAGGAGCGGAAGAAGAGGCTGGAGGAGCAGCGGCTGAAGGAGGAGCGGAGGAGGGCTGCGGTGGAGGAAAAGCGAAGGCAGAGGCTAGAGGAGGATAAGGTGAGACAACCACAGGGACGGACATGGAGTCCCTCTGCTGACAAAATGTAGCACACTTTCTGCGGAACTGGGCAGCCAGGTGTTGGGATGCAAAGATTTCAGGGTACTCAGTTTTATACATAGGCACAGGTGCTAGACTGGGTAGATGGCAGGTAGAGGATGGACTTTAACAGTCACTCGATGGTTCAGTGTTGCTGGTTTTTGCAAAATGTTTAGACTTAAAATGGGTGAGTTACACATGGTCATAGAGCTCAGTAAAGTTATGGCATGCACGTTCTCAATTCTGAATTCCACTTTTAAAATGTACCATTCAAATCTGGTACATGGGGCAAACCTATAATCTGAGCTGCTTTAGAGGAGGTTGCAAGTTCAAGGCCGTCCTGGCCAGCTTAGTAAGATCCTACCTCACAATTAAAAAAAAAAAAGAGATAATAGCTCAGAGGTAAAGCACAGCCAGATTTGGTCCCTATTATGTTTGGATGGATGGATGGATGAATTAGATGGATAAATGATGGATGGATGGACGGACGAATAAACAAACGTGGGGCTGAGGCTAAAGCTTAGTGATAGAGAATTTGTCTAGCATGAGTTCAGTTTCTGGCACTGCAGAAAAGTAAATAAAATACGATATGGTGCCATATGTATTGAGCATTCATTTAAGCTAAGATCTGCACTGTCGTGCTGCTGCTGTGTCAGTGAAAGCATCACACTCCTGTGAGAGCCATTTATTTGAGTCCCTACTGTGTACCAAAGGCTTTATGAGCTGGGACCTAAGGGGTTTGGTAAGCTTCAAAGATAGATGTTTTTTGCATCTTAAGATAAGGCATAGAAGTTAGGAAATAGAGTAGAAAATTTAGCTATTATCTACTTCCTTAAACTGAAAAGGCAGTGTGGGACTTAACCGCTGGCTCCTCATTCCATTTAAGGAACGCCTTGAAGCTGTTGTCCGGCGCACAATGGAAAGGAGCCAGAAACCCAGACAGAAGTACAACCGATGGTCCTGGGGAGGCCCTCTTCATGGGAGCCCCAGAATCCACAGCTCAGGTAAACACCCCGAGACCACTTCCCAAGCATCATCTTTGTTTTTCTCACAAATCGCTTCTTTCTTCTAAGTCTGTGTTTGCAACACAAAAATCCTGCTGAAATCATTAAACTGTAATTGAGTGATGCTTCTCCTGTTTGAGGATAAGAGGGTGATTGAGATTAAAAAGACAGGGTCCTTTCCCTTAACACAGGATGCTTTTCTCATGTATTGTACAATTCCTTCAAGAGTGAAATTTATGTATAGTTTTGAAAAGTTGCTAGTCTCAGCTCTGTTTTAGTAGTTCATTTGCATAAAGATTTCAAGATTACAGAGTAAGTTAGCCAGTTCTATCTTTTTCTCTGAAGAACCAAAGTAACATTAACAGGTCAAAATCAGTATAGAGAGCCAGTGCATTCTGACCCTGAAGCATACGTGAGAACGTATACAGGCTTCAAACTAGAAATAGTGGATGTCTGAACTATTCCCTCTTCCTTGAATGGACATAAAATTATACTGAAATTTGAATCTCATGAAAGGCTTTATTTTTGTACTGTAAATTCAATACACCTTGAGTTTTACATAGTATGTCAATTTTTTTTCATTTGTATGAATCAAGTAATCTTTTTTTTAATTTACTTTGAAAAATCATGTCTTACATTCTGTCCCTCAGGTGGTTTTGTTGAGTCATCATTCACCTCTCTCGATTTAGCAGGCCTGGACCACCACTTCACAAGCTTGGGTGGTACTAGAAAACCTGGTACAGACCTCCCTGTGACTGCTGACTGCCACCCCGTAGCTAGCACCTGAGACCCAGGGCCAGTCCATTCGTAGCTGGACCATCACACCAAATGCATGCTTACTGCCCTGCATAGACCTAGATCTGAGATCAGCACAGTGCTTCTTAAGTGTGATAATAGGACTTGGGTGACTTAAAGGTGTTGAAATAATTACATGCGGCATATTTGCTTTCTCTTAAAATGAGCATTTTGGATAAAATCTTTTTAAAATTCTTTTTTAGCAAAACAAAAAAATGTATTTGGCATCAGAGTATATCCAGTTTAACTCCCCTGACAGTTCCCTCCCCTTGGGCCCTAGTGCTACTGCTGCTTTTAGCCTTATCCGGTAACTGTGAATGCTTGTTTGTTTGCTGTTTCTTTCATTCCTAATATTCTGTGTATCTTCTAAAACCCCTTTATTAAAAAAAGAAAAGAAAATCTAATGAATACCTTTCCTATGACAGAGAGTTAAATTGGAGAGCACCTTTTTTCCCCTTGAGTTTTTACCATCCCATATCAAATCTGTGATCATGAAGAATGTTTACATGTGATGTTTCATTCTTTTTTTTTTTAAGTTTCATTTCATTTTTGAAATGGTCTCATTATGTAATCCAAATTGGCCTTGACCTCATTATGTGGCTCAAGCTGTCCTCGTGTTCACAAGGCCTCAGCCTCTCACATGTCACATCTCATGCTGGGGATGGCTTTGTATCTATATTCCATGCAGAAAAGATGTCATGGTATATATTTTTATAGCTTGTTTTTCTTCTTTTCCTTGGCTTCATGTTTTATATATGTGTCACATAAATACACTCTGTTACAGATTTTCAAACATTTTTAAGAAAAAATAAAGCTGCTTAGCCTTAATTCTTGCTTCTATGCTGAGAGGCTTATGTGACCATTAGTTCTGCCACTCAGAACAAGAGAAACCAGTGATGCATTTGTGAGCTATTGAATAAAATCCACTTTTAAGACCTCTGAATCAGAACAAATTGCTGTTATACTAGAACAGAGAAGTTGGTCTGAAAGTAATTTAAATTTGACAAGGTTTTCCAAGACTAGAAAGTGGGTGACCTTTCGTGATCTTGAAAATGATATCCGGGTCTTACTCCTGTTGAGTAAACTTGGTTTTGCAGCAATGCCAACGTGCTTAGTGAGCACCTAGTAAGGTCTGCTGAGAACAAACAGATCCTACAAACTGTTCACATTAAAATCAGTGTCTTCACCAACAGCCTTTTCACATCAACTAGCAGTAGTCTGAAAATGTTATACTTTCGAGACAGATTCTTTGTCAGTCTTTTTGTGAATCCATGTTTTGTTCAGTGAGAAAAGTGACTAAAAGTTGTCTCCTATATTAAATAGAGTAATACATTAATGGTATATCTCCATTAATTTTAATCATTTATTGAAGATTTAGTTGGTTTACTGTACCTGATATTTTTGGGAATGGGAAGACCTAGTTTAGCTCATTGTTTTCCACTTACTCTGAAACCAAACTGTTTTTAATAACCTATTAAGAATCTGTCTCGGGGCTGGAGATTTAGCTCAGCGGCATAAGTACCTGCCTTGCAAGCAGGCGGTCGTGAGTTCGATCCCCGGTACCGATAAAAAAAAAAAAAAAAAAAAAGAATCTGTCTCGAGCTAGGCTTGCATGTATATAGAATCTCTCTTTAAAGCTTAACATACAAAGCAACACCAGGAAATATGTTGCTGTAAATGTCCTGACGTGACTTTTGTTATCCTTTTTGTGCCCTACTATATCTCACATTTCATTAGAATGTTGCTTTTAATGTTTTCCCTAAATCTTTTCTTTCTTAGGATTGCCCCCAATAACCCATTATAAGTGAAAGAAATATTTGATTTTTTAAATAATAAAATTGTTCCAACCATAAAAACAAGGCCCAGCTGAAGGCAGACATGTCTGATGTTAGTGGAAGTCTTACTTACCACCATTGCTCTGTAAATGATGATCAAAAGTGGTTACTCCAGGCCGGAGATTTAGCTCATCTGGCATAAGTGTTTGCTTGGCAAGCACAAGGTCATGAGTTTGATTCCCAGTACAAAACAAACAAATGCTTATTCCAGGGAGAAGTTCATTTCAAAATATCTGTTGCCAAGATTAGCTAGACATTGGAAGCTGAGTTTTGAAGGCATCTATTACAAGGAACATTTTTGTTTTGGTTTTATAATCAGCTAAAGATAGAAAATAAAATATGGCAATATTTCTGTAATGTAAACTATTGTAGTTCAGAATATCCACTTGCCTGCTACACAAATATATATGAGATTTGTAAGCTTTAATTATATGTAGTTGTGTTTGGGGAACATGATTTGTGCTCATGAGCACAGTTACAAATTGGTTCCACTTACAAAGAACAAATTGCAGAGGTGATTTTTGTCTTTTATGTGGTTATATCCTTCTGATTTGAACATTCAGAATTATTTTTAAATACTCTCACTGAGGGATGAACAATACCTATTCATCAACTTAGAATTCAGATTTTATTGATATTACTCTGTTTTTGTGCAAGTTTGTGTGCTGATTCTACCTTGTCAGTCACACTAAACTCATTGGTCACAGAAATGTGGTTATTACTGGTAGATTAAAAACAAAACAAAAACATGCCACCCAGAGTATTTTTCTTTTTCTTTTTCTTTTTTTTTTTTTTTTTTTTGGTCTTTTTCCTTTTCATCGGTACCGGGGACCGAACCCACGACTGCCTGCTTGCAAGGCAGGCGCTTATGCCGCTGAGCTAAATCCCCAGCCCCTCAGAGTATTTTTCTCTTTCTTGATTGTAAAACCATCCTTCTATAATAAAATGTAATGCCCTGAGTAAAATGACTGTAAATCCAGAAGCATCAGCAAGCACACAGAACTTGGTGTGTTTTTACCATTTCCAGTGTTTGCAGCATTCTTCCGACATTCAGAAAGTAAGAAAGTGTTTGCTTTTATGGTCCAAATCTTTGCTTCGGAGTTGACCCCTCTCGTTTCTGTAGCCCCTCACTGGCCTCGCTTTTGTCTTCATCCACTTGTACTATAACGTTTCCTTGAATTTCAAACTGGTGCATGGAATATTTATGGTATGCTTTAAGAAAAGTGAAGTTATTTCTAGCCTTTAAGTTACCTTTAACATGTCCACTTAGAAAACTGTGCTATTGTGAAAGATCTAGAAATAGAGCTGAAAGCATCCAATCCTAGTTTTTCCTTCCATCAGTGAACTAGAAAACTGCACTCCTGCATGCTGGCTGTCAATTAGCATTATCTTCATTTGTTTTAGATCCAGACAGGCGGTCAGTTTCCACCATGAATCTTTCGAAACATGTTGATCCCGTCATTAGCAAGCGGCTCTCCTCCTCATCTGCAACTTTGCTAAATTCTCCAGATAGAGGTACAGTCAAAAGGAAAACAAAAGTGTTCTGTTATTTATTTAATGCTTTTTTTTTCGGGATGTCTACAGATGATAATAAGCATCTGAAGTTGCTTTCCCTACATTTCTTAAATAGGAAGAAAAAAACTTCAGAGTAAAAAAGTAAACGGCTGAGCAGCATTTTCCTTGCGACAACATTTCTCATTTTAGAACGTGACCGAATGATTGCATTTAGCAGTGATGAAAGCGGTGCTTCTCTCAACCTTTTAGTAAATGAGTTTACAGCTCCAGAAATCACCCACTTATCTACCAAAATGCAAAATTCTTTATTGTGAACATTTCTTTTACTTCAATCATATTGTCTGTGGCTTTTCATCTGTATCTTGAGAATTTCAGGCTCTGACTTTCCAAAGAGAACTTTACATGATTCATGTTGGTAAATTTCATTTTGTCAATTTATTTCTCATTCAACTGAACATTTCTTGCTACATTTCATGTGTATGATTGGGTTTTTGGTGTCCATTCATATACTCTTGAAGGATTTGACTTAACTTTAAGAATATCCTTGCAGCTCCTGAAAAATTTAATAATCAGTCTTCCAGTTGACATCTTGAGTTCTGAGTTTTATTTATCCTGTGGATTTACAGTACATGAATGTTAAGTTACGTATAAATAAAGTTTTATTTTACAAATAAAAGGAACATTAAGCTTTTGAGATAAAATAAGCTACTTGTCTAAGATGATTTTAAATAAAACCAAAGAATTATTGTGCAATATAAAAGCACATGCTCATTAAAAGTAACAAATTGTGGTTACTTTATTAAGAAACTGGGAAAGTTTCAGTGTTTATAATCTTCAAAAAGAATGTAATGTGTGCATGTTAAGTATGTGTATTTGTATATTTATATTGTATAAAAATATTATGGTGTCATTGTACTATATAATATTATATGAGTGTGAATGTTATTTTATAGCTAATCTCATAAAGCAGTAACTGACTTAATAACTTCCTACTCTTGCTTTTTAACCCAAAATAATTCCAACTTACTTTACCTATATTACTGATATGTAGTCAAGTTAGGGACCTTTCATGTTAAAGTATTGCTAATTAAACTTTTTTCATAAATATCCTTTATTTTGAAACCTAGTCCTAACATAAAATATGTATGTGAATGTCAATATTACAGTTTTCTATTCACCTTATCTTTGAATCACTTTATCACCACTTTAATTTTGTACTTTTGTGAACCTCAAGCAAAGCACTAGAATTCTATAGAACTGTCAAGTTAAACCTTGCTTAGTGTCCCCTACAGTCCCAGAGCGGAAATCAGGGTGAGGATGGAAGTACAGCAGTAAACTGGACAGTGTCCTATCCATGTCTGTGTGGGATGACAATGCTAAGCTGTCTGTATCAATTTCTTAATGTAATATGGTCTTAGGACTGAGACAGATATGTTGGATGAATTATCTACTCCACTTAAGGTAATAGAGTCCTTCAGAAGTTGAGGCCTGACCTAAGGACCCACAGGCTAGTGACTGCAAAAGGGGAATTAGAACCCAGAATGACAGCTCTTAGACACATGGCTGTGCCCTGAACCTGCAATTCTTACCTTCCTGTGTGTCCCTCCATGGGCTGGTGCAGTGCATTCTTCCCTTGGATAAGTTAAAAGTAATTAGGACACCAGGGACAAGGGAAGTTCTTTAATTAGTTTATGGCGGTGGCCAAAGACAGCCCCTTAAACTCAGTGCAGATCTAGAAGGCTGAATATTGAGCTGGGCTAACAGGACAAGAAGGACAACACTGAATTTGAGAAGTGGCCTCCCATATGATGTAGAACATTTGTTTTTTAAACTTAGGCAAAACTCTCAGTAGGACAATATAGGACAGTAAGAGGTTTAGGCCTTAATAAGAATAGAAATTCTTCTAAATTTGAATGTCTTTAATTCAGAAATATAATTCTTGTTACATATTTTTAAAAGTTATTTGTATCTTATTATCCCATTAGAAAGCATTCTTACTAATTTTTCAATTAGATTCCTTTGCAGACCAATTTGTGCAAGAGGGTATGGACATCAGTCGTAGATTGAACTTTTCTCAGTCCTATGATAGCTAGAATGTGTCCAGTCAGCCTCTCTGGTCATTAAATATACTGAAATATCATCATATTCTCCTAGATGTACTTTCACTGGTCCTCAAAGGTAATGGAAGCTAGCCTTTGGCCTGTACCCTACCAGTTTTAAATATTAGTGTTACATGGACTAACATTACCTGGATTGAAGGAAATCTCAAATTATTAAAGATTTCTATAATTGCTGCAACAAAGAAAGTGCTGTTACTGGAAATTTTTGCATTAAAAGGGTGTATCATTATTGTTGTGCTACCCACTTAACCAGTTTTTTCAAATAACAAACAATAGTTTGAAAAGAATAAAAATAAAGTTGCCTACTCATTGCTTAAAATTAATCAATTTATTTTCCTCAAATCTACATTGGAACACAGAAAAGCCCCGAAAGCTAAATTTTGCCCAGAGATTTTTTTCTAATTGGCCTGAGCAATGCTACTTTTTTGTGTTTTATTTAATTGCCAGCATTCACAATGTGGGAGATTTCATATAACATTGAGACTTACTTCTTCTAATGAAAAACATAATCTGGCAACATTTGCCTAATTTCTACTTGGTGCCTGTTGCCTGAAACTGAACAGTGATTTCATGCTCACATAAGGAATGTGGTAATACAGACAGCCTGTTTGCCAAACCAACTTTGCTCATGTACGTTAATGCACATGGCCTCTAATGGCCTTTAGATTTGTCTCTTCTAATCTGAGTGGCACATAGCAGTTGTCTGCACCTCATTTAAGTGGACCAGTACCACAGATTTCCATGAGTGTTATATCTCCTTGGTCAGCCCTTTAATTAACATCAGCACCCTGTAGGTGAAAAGAACAATGAACTAACTCTCCTCTTCTAACATTTAGTAAAATGTTACCTTACAGAAGAGGTCTCTGTTCTCTATTAGGGCACTAGTTATTAAAAAGGAAGAAGCAGAAACATTTTACGAACACATTCACAGTGTAGGGATTTACTTTATATATGTTAAAGTAAGTTTGTCATGATCTTCATTTGAAGCAAAGCCTGTAGTTGATGCCCTAAAGACTTAGGAATACAATAGTTAAACTTCTTGGTAGAGCAAAAAAAAAGACTTATTCTTTCAATTGATGCTCTGCTGTCTAAACTGCAGTCATCCTACAGTTTTCTAGGAAAAAGGAACATTCATCTTTCATCTCTTATCTGTTGAACATACAGTTCTGGTAACAATTTTCAATTAATCCTACTCTCTCGTTCCCCACTACTTTTATTTATTTATTTAGTTAGTTAGTTTTTTGGTACTGAGGATTGAAGTCAGGACCTTGCCACTGAGCTAAATCCCCAGCCTTCCCCACTTTTTATTCTGGGAGTGTATTCTGACTTGAGATTGGATTATATCCTCATATATTACACACAGTCACACTGCCCTCCTGGTTCATGATAGTGCTTACTCATGGTGCTTTCTACTAACCAGAACTGTTGCAGAAGTTTTTATAACCACCTTTTTTTTTTTTTTTTTGCTAGTATTTTAATGCCACACAATATTTAACTACAAAGTCTCCCATAAACATAAAATCTAAGGAATAATTCACTTAATTCTTAAATTTACCAAGTGTTGATCAAAATAGCCACGTTTTTAAAATTAAGTTAAATAATTAAGGAACCTAATGGAAGTTGGCTCTTCCTTCCAAATGGAAGCAAATAATTTTCCAAGCAACAGTATTTAAAAATCCAAGGCTTTTATTAAGTAAAACTAAATCTTAAAATTTAAGTGTCACTTTAAATACAATATATATAAGACTGATGTAAGAACAATCACCCCAGGGGCAAAGGGACTTGCATCTGAGATTTATGGAGCAGAACAGAAGTGGCCCTGTCAGGTTTAGATGGTTTGAAAGACTTTTATAAGTGACTTAGAAGTGCATTCTAAGCAGGGGAATGTGATCACTTTAATGATATCTGCAGGAATATGCAAACTTCAGTACTGGTATTTTTTGGAAACACCTACTGTGTATCCACATGGCATCACTGGAAGCTCGCAATAAGCAAAGTGATTAATTTATCATTTGAATGCATTTCCTACTCCTGGTCTTGCCAGGTTCCAGTTCAATCTGGGACCGTATGTCACTTCCTTATTTTAAGTTTATTATCCAGATTCTTTAGGCCTCCACTAGATCATCAGGATTTTGGCTTTTGTACTTAATTTTAATCTTGCTTCCCCCTTAATCTTGATTCTCAGCCATGATTTTTCTATTGTTGTCAAAGGAAGGAATCTGGCTTACAGAGTAGAATGGTCAAAAGGAATCCTATATAGAACTTTGCATTAATTTTTCATTTTATTATATCTAATCTCTCCCAATTGTCCAAATAGCAATTCATGGGGCTCTACCATAGTTTAATGGAGACCCAGTCTGTCTTTTATTTTAAATCTAATATTCCATTAACTGGCCAACATTTTTGGTGGTGTTTATTATTTAAGGTTCTTATGGGTATATTATTCAAGGTACTTAGGAAGCCCATTGGCTGAAGTGTGTCCTATGAGTCCATTCCCATCCAGTTGCCCTTCAGATGGGTACCCCTGGAGTTACCAGTACATGCCAAATCTGCAGATGAGAGATTTCTATTTCAAGGCCTGTTGACCACTAAAAGCATGTGACTAGCAAAATCCACAACTAAAACTCCTTTAGCACCTGCCACAAGTTTAACATTCTGAAGAAAGGCAACATTGCGGAATAGCTGCTCTCCTTGGACAGGGGTCCTGACTCCTGAACTGGGACCAGTTGTCCTCTCTGGAGAGCCTGATGTCTCTTGAAGACCTGGCCTGTGGAAGCGATAGGTATGATGTTCTGTACCCGCTTGACCCTAGAAAGATTGCTGCTAACATCTTCCTTATGTGGTGACATTTAGCTCGCCGCCTGCAGCTCAGCCCCTGGGAGAGCAACGTTGTTAACAGACTCCTGACGCCCACACATTCGTTCCTGGCTAGAAGTAAAAGCACAGCTGCCTTATCTGGAGATGCAGGTAAAGCCATCCAGGTAGAACTTTCCTGGTGAGGTAAAGCCTTCCTTTTGGGGGCATATCTGTGCTGCCAGTACTCATCTACTCCCTGCTCTGTTTTTCCTGATGTGTGCTTCCTTCTGCTCCAGTGGAAATATCTGTTAGTGTTGGTTCCACGCTCCTGGCACTGTTTCTGCTTAGTATCCACCTTAGCGCTTTATCTGGACCCCACATACCAGGCAGACAGATTAAGCCCCTCCCTGTGATCAGGTGGCTTCAGGTTGTTCTCTGTTTGTTCATGAGGTTACCTGAAAAAAGTACCCCTTTTCTACTTTTCTTTCTGCCCTTATATCTCAGCAGATGATCAGAAGGTAGATATAATTTAATACTTGGTATCAATATATGGGAAAGAAAAGACACACGCCTGTTTTTTAAGCATAGTGTTTGTTGGTGTGGCTTTGGGCTAACTGCTTTTCCTCCTTGGGCCATCTTTTGTTTGAATCTGGAAACAGCACCCTTACAAAACCGTAAAGACTCATGCAGGTTGATTACAGTGTACTTACTACTTTCATTGGAAACATGTAAACATAGCTACTACCAGCTGGTATGTCATTATTACCTACTTTTTGAGTTGTAACACACACTAGAATAATCCAAATGGCTGAGTTAATGAGAAGTTAGTGTACAGCCTATATCTAGTTGGTAAGAAAAGTCCACATAAGAGTTTCAGTAATATTTCTCTTCTGTTAAATAGATTTAGATTTCCGAAATCTCGTAGGGCACAGTTGGTGCATGTATGTAACCGGTCTAGCAGCCCTCATCTTTGGTACTTAGAAAATTGCATATAGTCTTTGAAAAGTTCCCATTGCCTCTGCAAGCCTCCTCATGTTTGTTAGCTTGCTGCACAAATAGGAATTCTTGGTGGTTTTATGGTGTCTTTTATCTACAGTGCCCAGTGAGCTAATGAGTATCACACTACTTCTCACAGTACCCTTGGAGGTCAGTCAAGAGAGCAAGTATGGGCATTCCCGCCTTGTTGTCAAGGAAACCAAGTGTAGTGACAATAAATGACTTAACAGAGCCTCTTAGGAAACTGTGAAGTGGATCTGAAACATGCTCCCCCATCCTCTCCTCAGCACCCCGAGTGACACTTGGTGTCCAGTGATGCAATCAGCTAGCCGAGCCACAGTCTTCTCTGCTTTCTGTAAAGGAGTTTCTGTCCAAACTCTCACACTACATCTGAGATTTTTCTGGAGGAAAAACTATAGTTTATCTTAAAATAGCCCAGTTTTTTGCCTATGAATTTCATACTTTCATGCAAGTCATGGAAGTTTCTCTTCATGTCAAAGGACCTTTCAGACTGCTTGTCCATCCTGCCCTGCAGGACCTCCATATATGTGGCCACCGTGCCCCCCAGCCTCCACATTGTATGTCACAAAGACCACTTCAAAACTGATAGTTGCCTTTCTTTGCTCTTTCTGTCATCACTAACTTTTGTCAGTTCTTTCGCCCTTCCTCTAGTCTTGCAACACCGTTTCCTCATTTTCTACCATGTGACTTGCCTGCCTTCCCCGCCCTCCTGTTTGCTGTGCTCAGTCAAGGTGCTTTTTATCTGCAAGTTGGCTCTTTGCAACTTTTCTGTTTTCCTTTTCCCAAATTGATACATTGATTTATTTTAATGTGAAACAGTCATAGCCTTTATTTGAGTTGCCTGTTTTATGAATACATTCCCTAGACTGGTGTTACCTTTTGCTTTGATAAAGCTTATGTTTAATGAAGCAAAAATATCAGTTTTTGCAAACATTTCTGCTTGAAATTATATATGTCACTATGCCTTCCAGTTGTCTTTTGAAGACACTTTTTCAGTCACTTGTGGTTTTTCATGTATTCTCTTTATTCTTTTTTGTCTTTCCATTTTAATTCTGTGTCTGATTTCATCTTATTCTCAAATGCCACTGGCAAACATTCAGAATTGTCTCAAGAAATGCTCCACAGATACCTCCTGAAATTATTATTTTCCATGGAAAAATAAATCGTATGTCTGTGCTTCGTTCCTTTTTTATCATCAGACCCATGCCTCAGAGCAAGACTATTTGCTAGGGTCTCTTGATACTTGAACAAGGGTAATGGGCTCTGGCTGTGCCCTGGGCACTGTGTGCCTCCCCTCCTGGTCTTGAATCCCAGAAGGGCATTGTGCCAGGATGTTATTTCTTGAATGTGTTTAATCAACTTGGAAGAATTTTGTATTAATGAACTCTTTCTTCGTCTAAAAAATGCAAACACTTTGTCATAGTACTTAAGAAAAGGTTTTTTCAAATCGATTCCTTTATAATCACAACAAGCAAAATGACAAGAGGTTCTCCTTCATGATACAAATCCTTCCCTTACCGAAAACGTCAGAAGTAAAGCTTTATGTCATTTCCCAAGTAAGACACACATATTCTTTGAAACGAGGAAATACAGAATGTTTTAGTCTATCATAAAGAAATACAGTTCTGTTTCAAAATAATGGGGAAAGGGATTGCAGTATCCCATCTGACTGTCCTAACTATTTAGTGGTAACCAAAAGATGCTATGAGGCATTGTACGAAGGCGAACACATTAGTAAAGATGTGTTTTAGGGATGGGAGTGCAGTTCAGTGGTAGAGCACTTACCTAGAGAGCGCAAAGCCCTGGGTTTGATCCCCGAAACTCCCCACCCAAAAGAAGATGTCTAATCAACAGACATAGAGTAAGCCAAAATAATAATTAAATATTTGAAGCTAGATATGTAATTCTGAATTTTTGACTATTTAATTTATTAATGCTATTACATTTTCCTAAAATAATAATCTGTCTAAAGTGTTATTGTAGTGGCTAGCGTTAGGTAAACTCATTTTATAACCTGGTCTAAATGTATAGTATTACTTTCAGTAGTCTTATTTAATTATCTTATTTTTGCTGGAAAGCAAGATCCCTGAATGACATCTGAGAATGGACCTTAATACCGTAGTGTCCATACCTTTTATGCCTTTCCAGTTACATCAGTTTGTTTTAATTCATCGAGGATCGGAATAAACAAATCAATGATAGTGTTCCTTTGAAGGTGAATGGTCAGAAACTATATGGGTTACTTCTTTCTTTTCTTTTTTTTTAAACATGGGGTCTCACTGTATTCCCCACACTGGTCTCAGACTCCTGGACTCAAATGCTCCTCCCCTTCCAGCCTCCCAAGTGCCAAGATTGACATGTGCCACCACACCAGACCCTATATGGATCTTCCAAAAAAAAAAAAAAAAAATCCCATTTTGAGTAACACTGTAACAGCTATTTATGGTTCAAACTTATTTTTAGCAATCCTAATATATTTATGTTCTTTTCACATTTTAAGTAGTTACAGCCCATTTCCCATATGTTCTACTGCTGCTGCTTTGAATTATCAAGTGCCTTGGCTTTTGGGAAAACCCAGAAGCATGCTTTGGTTTGCCTTTAAAAATAGATTTGCAAGATTCTTTTCTGGAAATTATTTCTTATGCTTGTAACAAGTCTTAACACCTGGTAAGACTTGGTCATTTGACATTAGAAAACTGTGCTTGCTGTTTTCCCCCACTGGCTGTTGAACTTGACTCTTGAATAGTGATTATATATCTTGCTTGCCTGCACGCTTCCTCTCTTTCCACCTTGTATAACATCTTAAAGCTAAGTAGGAAAAATCTGGTTATAAACTAGTCCTCATAGACAAATTATCTCATTTGGCGATGTAGCATTTTACCAGGACTATTGTTTTGTAGGGATGTAAGACCATTGCTCTCCATAACTATTGGATTACATCTGTATCTTCAATCAGTGTTTAAATAGCTAGCATTATATTCCGGATTTTTTACTTGGACATGCCTTCCTTTTGGACACATCACAGACTCACAGGATGTGAGGAGAGTTGAGCGTGATGGTTCTGGGCACCTTTAGGTAATAACATCTTCTTCCTACTTTTCTCTCTATCTCTGCTTTGCTCCTTTTCCTGAACCTGCTTTTGGCTTTCTTCAACTGCTCCTCTGGCACTCTTGTGTGTAAAACCAATCATCTGCACCCTAGTTATCCCCATTTGTCCTCGTTCAGCATCTTGCAGCCCCATCATCATGCCCTACAAAGCTGCACACTCTAGAAATCCAGTGGATCGACCAAAATTCTTTGTAACACCGCCCGAGGGCTCTGCGCGCAGGAGGACTGTTCATGGCACCACGGTGAGTAGCAGTTGGGAGCAACCTGGCAAGCCTGGGTCAGAGTGGACACTGCCCCGAGGTACGGTGTGATGTGAGACAAGGCGGCCACACGCCCACCATGCCACCCATCACGAATCAAGCTCACTGGACAGTGCTCCCTCCACCCCACATACACATTTCTTCTCAAATTAGGGGTTTTGCTCTTCCTACAAATTTGAACTTGAAGATGCAAACTGTTTCAAGCATACAGGAATGGCTGGCTTATCCTCCAGGGACCTCTTACAAATAAGTGCAATTCCAGAATAACTTAATTTTTGAAAGCAAGAAACCCTGCTGGCCTTGGCAGTGGAAGTGAGCCCAGAGTGCTACCTGATATTTTATCCCAACCAAAGCCGGAAGCTGGCTAGACTCCTAACTGTGGGTCACTAAAAACCAAGATAAGGAATTTTTATCCTGCTTCTTAGCTAATCTCTGTCAAAGCCCACACCTTAAAATAAAGTGGAATAAGTATTCTAACAACATGAGTTGTTTGCTAAATAACCAGTCTTTAAAAGGCTATTGTGCTGAATTATAAACTCAAGTTCTGCAAGTGAGAAATATAATTTGTACTTGTTATTACTGGCAAGGAAGCCGAGCTAATGTTAATCATCATGCTGTAGGTGCAATGAGGTAATTTGTACGTCTCCAAGAACCTTTCTTCATCTTTGTTTTAAACTGTGTGTTTATTTTGCATCTGTTGAAAGATGAAGACGTTGTTCCATGGCCTTTGGACCTTGTACTTTAGTCCTAAAAGACTCACGTATCCACCAGGTCTCATAGCCTGTCTCCCATGATAATAGCGGACCTTGTAATGAAGGGCTAGAATGCTTTTTGCTTTTTAATTTTACCTTCCAAGAGCAATTCTGATGTGTAAAGCTCATGGCGCTTAAAAGGATTTTTGCTTAAAGGATAATTCGAGGGTGTGAGAGAGCTTGTTGGCTTTGGCTACAGACAGTTTTCTTTCGAGCTTCATCAGGTCTGCAGTCCTCAAAGCCAGAGGTGTCACTAATTTTGTAGTCTCAAAGTTTGGGTTTTTGCAGCACTGGGGGTTGATCCCAGGCTAGTCTGCCACCGAGCTACATCCTCAGCCCTTTTTAGTTGTTGTTGGTTTTTTTTGTCTTTTTCCTTTTTATCGGTACCGGGTATTGAACTCACAACTGCCTGCTTGCAAAGGCCTTTTTAGTTTTTGAGACAAGGTTTCACTGAGTTGCCCGAGATGGCCTCAAACTTGGGATTCTCCTGCCTCCACCTGCCAAATAAGATTACAGATGTGTACCACTGCAGCTTCTGCTAAATTTGAATTCATTAGCCTATGGCTGTGACAGAGATTCTCACTATGCACCAAAAAAATGATAGTGAAGCAAATCATCTTTGGATGCTTCTTGGGCAGGGAAGAACATTTATCAAAGGAAAAATATTTTGTTTAAGAGAAAAACAAAAATTGAACTTCTTGGAGAGAAATGGAAGGCTGACCCTGGGCTAACAATAAATGAGAGGGGCCTGTTATCCCGCACCCCAGGCTTTGTCGTTAGTGTTATTTGCCTTTTAATGCCCTCTTCTTTCTTTGCATGGTCAGTTACTCTTCGCCTCTAGAAGCCGAATCTTTGGATATATCCCTAATACCAGAATACGAGTCCCAGAGCTGGGCTGTGGAAATCAGTAGTGACTGTCTACAGTGAGCACTCGAAAAGTGGCAGATGACACGGACACACTGATTTCTTTTTAATACTACAGATTGAGCTCAGGGCCTTCGCACTGAACCATGTTGTCAGTCCGTTTTTTATTCTGAGGAAGAGACTTGCTGAGTTGCTCAGACTAGACTCTAAGTTGCTATCCTCCTGCCTCAGCCTCCCAGAGTGCTAGGGTTACAGGCCTGGACCACTAGGCCATGCTGAATTTTTCAATTTTAAAAACTTTAGCTAGATGTCATGGCACACACTTGTAATCCAGCACTCAGAAGGCTGGAGGAGAACAATCTTAGGCTCTCTCCAAACAATAACGACAGCAGTAATATGTTTGTAGTTTTAAAAAAGTTATTTTTAAGTTCAGTGGCAAGTACATTCACACTGTAACACAGTCAGTCTCCAGGACGTTTAAAATCACAGCTCAACCTCTATGTACACTGAACCACTTCCTCTCTCCCCATCCTTTCCCCTCAGCTACCATTCTACTTTCTGTTTCTGTGACTGTGACTTCTTTAGATAACTCATATAAGTGGATTCATGAAATAATTAAAATTTTGTGACTGGTTTATTTCACTTACCATAAAGTGTCCACGTTCATCCCTATTACGTGTATGTCAGAATTTCCTTTATTTTTGGGGGGTTGTTATTTATTGGCTCTGGGGATTGAAATTGGGACATTAGCAGTGAGCCACATTCCCATCCCTTTTTTATTTTTTCACTTTTTATTTTGAGATGAGGTCTCACTAAGTTGCCCGGGCTGGGCTCAAATTTGAGATCCTCCTGCCTTACTTGTGAGAGTGCTGGGATTACAGGTGTGCACCACCAAACTGGCCATTTTCCTTCATGTTAAGGTTGAATAATACTCCATTGTATGAATATATTACATTTTGGTTTTGTACTCACCTGATGAGTTACATCTGGGTTATTTCCACTTCTTGGCTATTATGCATGAACGTTGGTATACAGATATCTCTTAGAGATACTGCATTCAGTTCTCTTGGATATGCACCCATAAGTGGGGTTGCGGAGTCATATGGTAACTGTACTTTAGTTTTTTGAGGAACCACTATATTGTTTTACATTCCTACCAAAGCACAAGGGGTTCTCATTTCTCCATGATACACAATTAAAGATACAATATGAAAATTTATTTTTAACGAGAATGTTTCACATCACTTTATGATGCCTAAAACTCATGGTTTTTAAGTTTTATAATTTAGCTAGCAAGTATTCAAATACATCAATTTTTATTTACTTTGTGCACAATATAAGTTTTAAAAACCCCTTTAAAATTTAGATACATAATTTTTCAAACTGGATTTTCTGAAAAGAAAACCTTTCCGTCTTGAATCATCCCAGGGACTTTGGTTTTATTTTTTAAATTTTAATGTAATACAAGTAGATATTGATAAAGAAAATAGAAATAAGTGCTCATCTACAAAAAAATCAAAAATTTTTTTCTTTTTTTAAAAAATTTTTATTGAAAGAAAAGAAAATTCAAAAAACAAAATAGAAAAAAATGAGAAGAAAGTAGAATTCAAAAAAAATTAACATCATAAAATTGCTAGCCAATGCATTACATATTGTCATCTTAACAATAGTTGTTAAAGTTACAAAATCAAAGCATAAAGTGGCTAGGCACTCAAAAACATTGACAGTGCAATCTTTTCTGTTCAGTGATCTAATAGAAATTTAGTAATATGGTCATCTGTCTTACACACTGTACATGCCCTTTTATCCTTTGGAGCACCTTCCTTCCCCTCCACTTTTACACTGTCCATTATAATTTTTGGATCCCGTTATTCTGTCAGTTCTTATTATTTTTACACTAGAGAGACAATGTGATATTTCCTAATGTGAGACTTGTTTATTTCACTGCAAAATAGAGAATAACAATAGTTAATACACTGTGTACCATGTTCTTCAAAATGACTCCATTCACTGTGGTTTTGACTTGCATTTCTCTAGCACACAGTGAGGCTGAAAGCTTTTCACAGCTTGTTGTCAGTCTGTGCATCACATGAGGGGAAATGTTTCTTAATGTCTTTCACTTATTTTTTAATCAAGTTACTAGTTTTTGAAGTATAGGAGTCATTCTTTCTGAACATTATCCTCTTCTGTTTGACTTGCACATATTTTTCCTATTTCATAGGCTGTTTCTATGTCCCGTCTTTTTCTTGTTCTTTTTTGCCATCCTAAAAGCTGAACCCTGGGCCTTTGCACCGAACTGCATCTCCAGCCCATTTCTAATTTTTGTTTTGAGACAGAATCTCATTAAGTCACTGATTGCCCAGGCTGGATTTGAGCTTGTGTTCCTCCTGCCTCAGCTTCTAAGAGTGATTATGTTTTTTGATGCATAGGAATTTTTAAGTTTGGTGTTGTTCCATTTGTCTATTTTTTTGTCTGGTTGGCTTTTGTTACTCTAACAAACAAACACTAAATCTAGTGATATGAAATTTACCACCTCTTTTCTACAGAAGCTTTGTAGTTTTAATTCATATATTTTTATAAGGTCTTTAACTGACTTTGAGTTTATTTTTGTGTGTTAAATAAGAAAAAGTTCTAGTTTCTTTTTTTCTTGCAGATACCCAGGTTTTCCAGCAGTATTTATTGAAGGGATGTTCTTTTCTCTTTGAGTGATTTTAGGATTTTATCAAATACACAAGTACTTATTTCTTGGCTCTCTATTCTGTGCTATTGGTCTGTGTGCTGGTCTTTGAGTAATACAGGTTTTTTTTATATTAAAAAGCAAGATGTATGAGGCTGTCAGCTTTCTCATTCTTTTCTGAAATTGTAAAGTTTCCCTCAGCCTTTTGGATAATGTTAAAAAGGAAAGGGGACTGTACAGACTGCAGGACATTAACTCAGGTCAAGATGAGAATCAGGAGTGCCTTTACCTGTGTGCTGCCCAAACAGGTAGTGGATTTAAGAGCAGAGAATGGACATAGAAGATAAAAGAAAATCCCACCTGCTTGGGTGGTGTTATCTCAAGTACCAAGTGTTTTCCCAAATCATTTCTCCCCCTTTGTCCCAGCCGCTAGGTGATTAAAGGAGATCATTTCTTTTAGGAGACTAAGAAGTAATTGGCACTTTGATAAAATGCTGACTGTCTCTCTTATGCAGAGCCATTCCATTATTCATGTCTCGTGTGTTTCTGGGAGTGAGGATCAAACACAGGGCCTCACATATGCTACCCAGTCTACCACTGGGCTACGTCCCCCAGGTCCCTGGTCCCCATCTCATTAAAGCACAGATGAAGAAAGTCTTCCTCCAGCTCTCCACTCATAAATTGCTCTTCCCAGTCAGTTATCTCTTTGATTTGATTTCAACCAAATTGAAATATTTCAAGAAATAATCCAAAAAGACTATTCAGGTTCGTTCTTTAACTGTAAATTCCCTCAGGAGAAGCCCTGGGCCTACCATCCTGGGAACTGACCTACCCGAGGCATAATTGCCAACTTATATACCAAACTGGAGGGTCTCATATGATGGCCCCACCTCCTGCCTTCTGGCATCAGAGACACAGGGTGGCCACGCACCAGGAGATGAGGTAGAACCAGCACCCACTTTGTGATGCTCTCTCCTGCCCTCTGCATCCTTCTGTTTAGACACTCTAGAGAGACAGTGAGTATTATCTGACACTTTGATGATTTTTCCCCACCTTTGGTCCTGTCAATCAACCAGGGCACTACTAAGGAAGATGGAGAGAAGCAATTAGAAGGGACATTCAGGAGAGTAAAAGGGAAGGGAAAGAAAAATTATGCTTGAGCATTGGCAGAACAGGAGGGAAAAAGAGATAAACTGCCAGCTTTCTTCCCTGTGACTAGAGAATATTTTACCCCTTCCCTGTACTTTTTTGGTCTGCTTTCCTGGCAGGTGTTCACCATGTGCCCCTAGCAATGTTCCATTCCATTCTAGAACACAATGGAAAGTTGCAGAGGCTTGGATACTTGGAATGGGTCAGGTTTGCTCTCTGCATGGAGCAGTGGACTCCAGACTGACTTTAGAATCTCAGAACAGTTGTATGGGCTACTCTCTGCCCATTTCCACTTAGCAAAGATGTCTCCCTGGCTGAATTCCTGGCTGGCAGTTAGGAAGAGGCTGGTGATTAAGCCTACCCTCAGACTTCAAATGTGTCCCTTGATGCAGAAGAGTTTAAGTACCTAAAATTACTCAACCTGTACCTGACTTTCCTTAGAGGACATTAGCTGAAGGAGGAATTTTTCTGTAATACCTGTAGAGGGAAAGAATGAATTAATGTTAAGAATAGCAGGCATGTGCAGTTTTTTTAGCTGCTAAACTGTGTTATGCTCTGGGATGAAAACAGTTGATACAGAATTTAAAAAGAAAAATAACTGTTTAGTTAAAATTTTTTAGAAATAGAAGTGGCTTTGATTTTAACATTTGTGGGAGATTAGCCATACTGAGATTTTGTTCCAAGTAATTTCAGACACAAAGTATAGGTACTTTCTAAAAATCTTACATGCTTGTTTTTTAACAATTATCCAGATCATGCATCCAAAACCACCTCATCAGTGATGCCTGTGTTAATTCAGTTATATTGTTGTAAACTAACAAGGACCCTTTGTACAGACAGAATGGATTTGTGTGAGATAATTTAGAAAATTTGTAAAAACCTGTTAAATGGCTTATAGTCCCACTGTCAAATACCACGAATGCAATCATCTCACTCATGGAAAAATCTAATTATTTTCTCTGAACTTAGGGCCATAAAAGAGACAGAGAAAATGTACCCTTCCACCTGACATCTGGTATCCGAAGGACTCTATCCCCAGCTAATCCCAAGGCAAGATCGCCAGCTTCTTCCCGACTCTGGTGAGTGCAGTACAGAGGCTGGTCGGGCCACTCCTCGGGAGAGCAATAGTAGCTTCCGTCCTCACAGTGCACTTGGCTTTGACTGAGGGAATGACGATCATCTTTTTGTTTTTTTCTTTTCCAATACTGGGGTTGAACCCAGGGCCATCTGCATGGTAGACAGAAATTCTACCACTGAGCTACATCACAGCCCTTTTTAATTTATACTTCTGAGGCAAGCTCTTGCTAGGAGGCTTGTACAAACTCCATGCCTAACTCAGGTCTTCCTTAAAGCAGAGAAAAAGGGGAACATCAGAATGGGTCTCTAAAGTGACTGCAGTTCCAGGAAAGACAGAGGCACACAGCCAGCTGTCTGCGTTGCCTTTCCGTAACCTGGTGTCCCAGGTGGGGGGTGACCTGCTCTGATGCCCCATCTCCGCCTTGTCTGTTTGCCGTCCAGGCTCCCCTCCAAGTCCTTACCGCACCTCCCTGGCACACCCCGACCAGCGTTCTCCTTGCCTCCTGGCTCCGTCAAGGCTGCTCCTGCTCAGGCCCGGCCCCCATCCCCTGGCAACATCCGCCCTGGCAAGAGAGAAGCCAAAGGGGAACCTGAGAAGAAGGACCCCGAGAAGGACCCTCAGACCACTGCCAGTGAGCCCCCATTAAAGGGCAGAGCTCCTCTAGTGAAGGTAGCAGAAGTCGCAGCCCAAGAGGTGACGCCTGTGGAGCCCGAAGCTGACACTGGTGAGAACGACCTGGCTGGCTCAGGGACACGCCTTCGCTCCTCCGCTCCCATGCTGTTTTTCTCATGCACTGTTTTATGAGCTTTTCTCGTCTTCTCCAAGGCCCATTTTAGGACTTTTTCTTAAGTATAATTTTCTGTATACTTTATACATCCCGAAGCCCATGGTTGCACCCACAGCGTGTTAAATCAGACATGGTCCCAAGTCCTTTTACTAAGTACACATTTCAAAAAATGTGGTGTTTAGAACATCTTCATCCAAATGGTTTATTGTATGAGTTATCTGTTGCTATGTAACAAATCCCAATCTTCATAGCTTTGAGACATTCAAACATTCCTTATCACATACAGATTGTTGGGTCAGGAATTTGGGGACAGTTTAGCTGGGTGGTTATGGCTCAGGGTCTCCCATGAGGTTGCAGTTGAGCTATGTGGTGGGGTAAAGTCATCTCAAGACCCAGTGGAATGTAGCCAGATATGGTGGTGCACACCTGTAAACTCAGCTCTTGGGAGACTGAGGCAGGAGGATCTCCATGAGTTTGAAGTTAACCTGGGCTACAAATTGAGTTTAAGGTCATCCTAAATTATGTAGTGAGACCTTGTCTCCAAAAAAGAGAGAGACTCAGCTTAAAATGGCTTCTGCACATGGCTGTTGGCCTCAGTTTTGGGACATGTAGAAGTTACTATGTTGAATTGACACTTGACAGGTCATCAGGCTCTGCCTTTTGAAGGGAGATTTTTGAAAGAATTTATGGAAATATTTTTAAACCACCCACTCTGGAGTTTAAAAAAAAAAAAAATACACCTAGCCTCACCTCCCACCAGCCAATCAGAATAGGAGGTGGTATGTTGGACCCTGATAGGTACAAAGCTGTTGATTGACTCCTGAGCACACAAGATTCTGAAGATCACTGGCTTTGCCCTGTGCTTGACAGAGGTCAGAGGTTTTTTTCCCAGAACACCCAGTGGTTCTGTGATGCTAACCAGATTCTATTTTCGAATCTGGAGTCACCTAGAGAGAGTTTAATATTTTCTTGTTAAAAATTATTTTCATTCAAAATTTCTGTTGAAGACAGTCTGAATGTCAAGCATAGGGGCAAAGAAAAAATAATTGGTTCAAGATAAATCAAAATGTTGAGAGAGTGGAAGAATCCAATGATTGCTTTCATGAAAACAGGATCAGCGCCCAAGAATATCAGGATGATAAAGAAAACTCCCCGGGAGCAGAGGTAGAAACGTTAATGGGGAAAGGAGGGTTGAGAGTGGCCAGATGCCAGAGCTCAAAGCTCAGGGGTGCTGAACCTGGCACAAGTGTGCGGGGTGCCCACCTGTAGCAGCTCCCAGGTCTCCCCCCATCCGAATGAAGCAGAGAACATCTGCTCCTGTCTGCTTGTTGGTGTGAGGATGGAGTGGGAGGCCAGATGTGTTAGCCACATGCATGCTCCGGACAGGCCATGGCCCCTCCATGTCCCAGGCCTGAAGACTGCTCTGGGTAGGCTTTTGTCTGGAAGGGTGACCCCTTCCCGGCCTGATTCAACCTGTGACGTGGACACTGAAGATGGTCATAGAGAGGCATTAGCACCATAGTACCAGACCATCACCCAAGAGCAGGAATTTTTCAAATGTAATGGAAGATCACATCTCCATTTTGCTGCTGAATCTAACACCAGGCTCTCTGCTCGGTACACATTTGCTAGATGTCGCTAGCTGATTTGACCACTATTAAAAGAAGATTTAGTGACAGTGTGAGCTTTGTCAGAAGTCTCACCTACACACACAGTTTTTTGTTACCTGTTGCTTGGTTACAGATAGAATACAGTGAAACCGTGAGAACACACAGTAATAAACATTCCCTTTTCTTTGATAGCGATTAATTCTGGGGCATGTGTGGAGAATGCTGGTTTTTGTTTTGTTCTTCGGGTTTTGTTTCCAATTGGGTTTCTTCTTGTACCTATTTGTACAGCTGCTCCAACGCAGGCTCCTGCTCCAGCTCCAGCCCCTGCTCCAGCTCCAGCCCCCACCTCACCGCCAGCCCCAGCTTCCGTCCCTGCCACACCATCTGCTGTGCCGGCCACGGCTGCTCCTAAGGTCTCCGCAGGCACCACGGACCCTGAAGAGGCCACCCGGCTACTGGCTGAGAAGAGGCGGCTGGCCCGAGAGCAGAGAGAGAAGGAGGAAAGGGAGCGGAGGGAAAAGGAAGAGTTGGAAAGGTAAAAGGGTGACAGTGTCAGCCTTTAGAGATGCGTAGTTAAATTGCAGGTCCTTTGTAAGAGCAAGGTCTCCCGCAGAATAGCGCGATTGCACCTTGCTTCTCCCGCAGGCCCACAGAAGCTGGAGAGGGAAGACAACCTCCCTTGTGTCCCTGGCCCTGTTGAGCACACCCAGTGCAGTGTTTGTGCCACGGCTGTGAACGAATTCTCCTGCAGTGCCCATCCACTCAGACTTGCCTCCTAGACATCCCCTCCGTGTCTCTGCTTTTCTTTCTCCAGACAGAAGAAAGAGGAACTGGCGCAGAGGGTGGCGGAAGAGCGAGCCCGCTGGGAGGAGGAGGCCCGCAGGCTGGAGGCCGAGCAGGCCCGGAGGGAGCAGCAGCTGCGCCTGGAGCGCGAGCGCGCCGAGACGGAGCGCGCCCAGAAGCAGGTGCGGTGCGCGCGGGCCGGGCGTGCGGGCGGCGGTCACGGTGGTCCCCGATCGCCGGTAGGAACCATCTCTGTTCCCGACCCCACTGCTTGTTTTCAGAAGGAAGAAGAGGCCCGGGTTCGTGAGGAAACGGAGAGGGTCCGGCAGGAACGCGAGAGACACTTCCAGAGAGAAGAGCAGGAGCGCCTGGAGCGGAAGAAGGTAGCGTAGCCGAGCCCGGGAGAGAACTGCGCGGTTCCTTCTAGATTTGAAGCCACGCTGCGGCCAAGTGATACCAAGAGACTAGCACTGCCATCAGGAACAGATGGGTGCTGCCCTCCCCGGATAAGGAGCGCTTGCTACCAATAAACGCGTCCCAAGCAACCGTGCCCAAGGTTCCAGCCTGCCCCAGCAGTGGCTTCCACTTAAGGTAGCCCACGTTGCTCCCGGCCTTTGGAGTAACTCCGCTAAGACAAGCAGTTAGAATTAGTTTTCCCCAAAACACACACCCTCTGTTTCCTCCTTGCTACTTATTTCGTGCCTGGAACGTTCCAGGCTGGGCTGCTGTCAGCACCGACCCTCTCACTCCCTCCCTCATCCTTTCTTGCAGCGGCTTGAGGAGATTATGAAGAGAACCAGGAGGACAGAAGCTGCAGATAAGGTACTGAGTGGGCTTGAACCCGGGCCTGGGGCGAGCTGAGCCAGGACTCACTCTCTTTACCTGCACTTTAAAAATGTTTTAAGCCTCCTTTTGTTTGTTTTTCGTAGAAAACCCTTGACCAGAGAAATGGTGACATAGCCAAAGGAGCTCTTGCTGGAGGAACAGGTATTTCTGTCACAATTTGACACGGAAAATTCTTAAATTCACTGTGGAGATCAAGATATTTAAGGGTCTGTGGTAAAGCTGGGAACAGATGCTCATCAGTTCACGGAGGCTTTGGTGAAACCACCTTAGCCGTTCTTCTTAAGGCCTTTAAATGTGCACATTTTGACAACTTGTATTTATGGCAGTCCTCACAAGATTTATAAGTTATTTATTTTAATCCTGGCTTTACAGATAAAATAGAAAAGTTATTGAAATGTATTTAGAAGTTGTTCATATGCTATAATGTTTGAGATTATTGGATTCTTGGTGAACTTTTAAAATGTCATTTTAAAAGATGAAATTATTGTTAATTTATTACTCCACCCCAATTAATTTTGATTAAGTGCCCTTTGCATCGGGTATATCTTTCATATACTTTTTGTGGGGGAGGCAATGGGGATACAGGGTTTGAATCCAAGGCTTTCGTACTGAGCAACGTCTCCAACCTTTTTTTTTTTTTTTTTAAAGCAGCATCTCATTAAGTCACTAAGTTTCCCAGGGAGGGCTCAAACATGGCAGTCCTCCCACCTAGGCTTCCCAGAGTGCTGGCGTTACGAGCATGTATCACCACACTTGGCTTATCTGTGTGTGCTGCCTTATTTAATTTCCATTGCAGTCTTAAGAAACAGAGGATGCTTTCTCACAATCAACAAAGGCTTCTACATGCCAGGCACTGCTACAGTGTAAGGCCTCTTCCCCAGAGGGTGCTCATGCCCAAGCATCTGGGGCCCAGCTTGCCAACTTCTGACTCTTCATGATGCCCCGTGGTCTCCATGACTGTGCTTGCAGACAGTGGGTAGACAGCTCACCATCATTCAGTCCTCTTTTTTTTTTTTTACACTATCAGTCTGAAAAGAAAGGACCAGCAAATACTTGTTTCTCTTTCTGTTTAAAAACAATATCTAGAGTATCTCTCAAGGCTGAATTGAAGATCAAGTCAAATGATTACATAAAGAAACTTCCCCTGTGAATTCTAGAGGGTTTCAGGGGTAAGCCATGATTGGTATTTGGTTTTATTTCAGTAGAGGATATTCTGGTTTCTGTGTGTCATGATTCCTTTATAGTAGGGTTTTTGTGTGCTTTTATAGATGCCCTCGTTATGTTTGTTTGGGGAACAATCCAGATGGTTGCCTCTTAACCCTATTATGTTTTAGTATGCTTTCTCCAAGAAGGTCTTAATCACGGCAGGCTCAGGCACAACAAGCAGCGCATCATCAGAGCGGCCCACGTGGCTGTATCCTGGACCAGACGAGGATTATCCGGGGGTTGAGGCTGTAGTCTGTGCCTGGCTGGGCTCCCATGTTTTTGCTTTGATTTTTTCCCTTGCTGTTACTCCTATCTGTTCAATACCCTTTGTGCTCAATTCAAGACTAAACAAAGGCCAAAAAGGGGGTGAATTTTGTTACTCGATAGGCCCATGTTTATCAACACTTGTATAAATGTTGTATGAGTTTTTTTTTAAAAAGCTTGAAAATTAAATACTCTCTCCTCATTTGGCTTCTGCTTGAGGGCTGAGTGGTATCACTAGTACTACAAAGAGAATTCTAGGATGGGCAGGTACCCAGACAGGCAAGTTCACACCCCCTCTAGAACTCCCCTCTAGTGGGAGGAATGTCTTCACAAATGTTGGTGGCTTTAAAATGATCATTACTTCCTTTTTTATTGTTTTTGTTTTTGAAGCAGTCTCACTGTGTAGTTCCAGCTGGCCTTGAATTTACTATGTAGCCGAGGCAGGCCTTGAACTCACAGTGATCTTCCTAGTGCTGAGATAATAGGCATGTGCCACCATGCCTGCCTAAATTATCATTACTTCTTTGCTTCAGTTATCAGACTCTGTGGATCTCTGGCGGGTTGGTCATGAAATAGCACGGTCTGGCAATTATTTCGGTTATTCTGCCCTATCAAGATGAAACCATAAAATGCCACAGTTTTCTGCAGAACTGTGACCTGTACAAAAGGTGTAAGATGATCCAGTAACCATGCCCCCAATTTGAGAGTCTGGCATCAACACTATTTTAAATCTCTGGCATTGAGTATGGAATAACAAAATAGCAGAGTTAATAGGCGCTCATTTATGAAATCCCCATCTTGCTAAATACTATATGTCTAGATCTAAGCTGAGTTTGCTACCTCTTTTTTTACCACTTCCGGTATATGTGGTCATTTGTTTCGGCTGCCTCTGTGGAGATATTTGGCATCCACCAGATCAAGTTCACTTACTGCTATCTTCATTGGATGCTGTGGTTTCAGTTTATGCTTTCTATCCATAGCCAACTTAGTGTAAGCAAAAATAACAGTAGAATTTATTTCATCTCTCACAATGGAATAAACAAACACTGTGTCTTGGTTACTTTTCTTTCATTGCTGAGACAAAACACTTGACACTCAAAATGTCAGGAAGGAAAGATTTGTTCAGCTTACGGTTTCTGGAGATTTCAGTCCATATTCCACTGGCTCCAAGGTATGGCTAAAGGGCAACTCTTCGTAACAGCTGTAAGTGACAAGACCATAAAGGGCAAAAAGAGAAGAGCACACCTCTTTCCCTCCCTTCTATTGTATGCCAGCTCCCAGCCCCTGGGTGAGTGCAGCTGTCACACCACCAATCCTAGCGCTAGACAATAAACCAATCACAAACACTAGACTCAGCCATGATTGCGTGAGGTGTGGGAGAACATCCAAACACAAACCATAACACACTGTTCTGAGTTCTCTGCATTTATTAATATGTTTAATCTTCACAGTAGCACATGAGGTAGGTACCAATATCCATGAGGAAAATAAGACAAGAATTTAAATGACTTAGTCAGAGTCCCACAGCTGGCAAATCAAAGTCAGGAGATAATCTAAGTGTGATGGTTCCTGGAGGGTTGGGTTTGATGGCAGAGTATTAGTAACTTTGTTTTCTCCTTTGTCACATACAGAGGAAGCTGCACTTCCATGTATAACAAACTTACCAGCAAGTGGAGAACCAGCCACTAGCCCACATGCCACCTCACACCAACCCAAAGTGACTATGGAGAGGTGAGTCAAACAACTGGGACCTTTTCACATATTACACCAAAGCTCTGTTTTTACTTCATCAGAATTTCCTGAACCTGGCAAAGTTTCGAAGTTTTAACATTATGATCTCATTTTTATTTTGATTTTTATTTGGGTTATGAATTTAGAGGGTGGTTTTGTTTTGTTTAGCTTTTAGCTTTTTTGAGACAAAGTCTTTTATTTTAAAGAGGGTAAAAATTAAACACAACAAAACAAAACATGAGAAAGTAATGTAAGAGGCATAAATTTCAACAAGACAACCAGAGATCTTCACTATCTGTTATATTGTCTCTTGTTTTCTTCCAAATAGTTGTCTATATCTTCATATACAGAAAATTCATACAAAACAAGATAGTATAAAACTGATCTGAATGGGATGAGGAAGGCGTTTTAGATCTTCAAGACCAGAGAATAAGGAAGTCAACAGCAGCTATCATAGTGTCTCTCATTCTCTTCAAAATAGCTGTCCATAATTTCATGTATGTTGAAATTAAACAAAACAAGCAGGCTAAAATCACTCTGAACAATGAATAATAGTATTGCTGGATTTCACATCATGACCCTACGGAATCAACACTGGGTATTATAGTGTCTCTTTTTCTTCAAAGTAGTTGTTCATTTCATCATGCTGTATATAATCAGTTCTCATAAACTGTTTATAGGTTTCATGCATGCATGAGTCTTTACGTGTATCTCTATCCTTTCTGTATTAGAGGGAAAAAACAAAACAAAGCAAGACAAAACAAAACAAATTCCTATAAACACATGAAACGAAAAAGTCATATAAAACCACAGTATAAGGTGATCTACAATGGTTACTGTGTTGTCTCTTGTTATCTTCAATAGAATGTCTATATCATCAGGCATAGTATAATTTAATATTGCAGTACATAATATTAATAAAAACAAAACATTGTAGACAGTGTAAGCGGGTAATAATCAAACCAAAGTGGGTATCCTAGTGAACCATGTCATCTTCCATGTAGTTGCCTGTACTCTCAGACTTGATTCTATCAATCATAACAGATTCAAATAAAATCCATCAATACAGAACAGTGGTCTAACAAACTAGATTCAAATAAGATAACAGTCATGATAAAACAGTGTAAGTTATACAGGGCTTCAGATTAAGTTAATAGGAAATTAAGGATGATTACTATACTATATCCTGCTATTTTTGAGGATAGCTATCTGTGCCCTCAAATCTAGTACAAGTAGACAAACTTGAACCAAATATAATCCATTAAACAGAGCGGTGTGAGTAGTGTGGGTTTGAAATCTTGATACACTATTAACAGTATCTCTGCCTTCTTTTTTTATACTATTCCTCCCCTTTCACTGCCACAGGGTGCACTGCGCATTTTGGGTCCCACCAACTCCCTCATTTAGATTGGGGGATCAACCTGCTATTTACCTAAGTGCTTCCAAACCTTCTCACTCCTGGACTTGGTCTCAGGTTGTATTCCTTTACCTACAAAAGTCTCAAGGTTTTCCTTTGTTATAGCTGAGTAGTTCTCTACTGCACATAAGTATCCTGTCTTTCCAACCTATCTGCAGGTGCTGGTCAAGTTGCCCCTATTTCTCTGGTTCCCTGTCACATAGAGCATTGTTTTCTCATATTTGATTTTCAGTTGATAAACCCTTTTTCAGGTTAATTATATTTCCAGAGCATCTCTGTGGACCCTATCTCCTGATCTACTCTGCCTGTGTTTCTTTTTTTTTAGTATATCAAGGCCACCTATGTTAGAGATTATAGCCAACCTTCTCTGCCTCATTTCTGTTATGCTGTTTTTCTGCTGTTGACTGTCTACTTTTCTCCTTCATTCCACTGTCTGCCCCATTCATTGAGGCCTCTCTGTCACTGTTTGAGAAATCCTGGTATTTTTTTTTTTTCTCTCTAGAATGTTCTCCAGTATTCTCTGTAGGGTTGGGTTGGTGGTCACAAATTACCCCAGTTCCTCTTTGTCATGGAAGCATCTTGTTTCTCCATTAATTTCTAAAGACAGTTTTTCAGGGTACATCAATCTGGGCTAGAGGTTATTTTATATCGGGGCTTGGAATACTTCACTCCAAGTTCTTCTTGATTTGATGGTCGGCGTTGAAAAGTCTGCTGTGATTTTGATGGGTTTTCCTTTATAGGTGATCTGTTTCTTTTCTCTAGTGGCTTTTAATATTCTGTTCTTATCTTGAATTTCTGGGATCTGGGATTTCATTATTATATGTCTGGGTATAGCTCTGTTTTGGTTGTAAGTGGCTGGAGTTCTGTATGCCTCATACATCTGAATATCATTTCCTATGCTTGGGAAGTTTTCAATTATTGTGTTTACCCCTGCTTCTTCACTCACATTTTTCATTCTTAAGTTATAGATCCTCTTGTCATCTTCTAGCTGTTGTATTGTTACTGCCTGTTTCCTTGTTATTTTTATGAGATCTTTCCTTTCATGATGATACATGCAAACCTATCTTCAAGTTTTGATAGTCAAGCCTTAGTTTCTTTCAAGCAGTTTTGCCAGCTTTCAGTGGCATTTTTAATTTCCTGGTAATCTCTTTGAATCTGCTTCATGTATTCTAGGTTTTCTTTATATTCTTCATAGAATGTTTCTCTCCTTTTTTTTGTGTCCCTCCATTCTTCCATCTGTGTCTTCTTGAGAGGTGCTTAGCATTTATTTTATTAATCTTTCTATATCTTGCCTTACTTGAATTAATATTTCAGTTTTGAGCTTTCTATAAGTTTGTGAAGATATCTCTTTATGTCTGCTGATGCTGTGTCTGATGTTGCATGTTTGCTGCCCTCAGTCTCTTCTGTATTGACCTCTCCTGGATCAATACTCACTGGGTTGACGGATGGGGGCTTTTTCTTATTTCTTTCTCTTGTCATGATTTTGGTTTCTTCCTAACAGATGTATAGTGGAGGTCCCAGCCCCTTTCCTTGTTGGTTATGTTTCTTCTGAAGCACACTGGCTAAGGATTTCTGCCCTCTCCAGTTTGCTGTTGATATTGAGGTGCAAGCAGGGGCAGTGTATGCTGGCCCCTCCCTTCCAGGCCAGTCAACCTCCCGGGGCCTTCACCACGTTAGTGTGTGCCGCGTGTACGGCATCAGTTTGGGACTTATTGGGTCCCAGCCAGGAGTGTGACCCAGGGGCCAAGCAGTTCCCACCAATCTGCTCTGGGTAGGGAGTAACTGACCAAAGTCACTGCCTTTCCTTGTTCATGCCTGTCCTACCCAATTTCAACGTGTCATCCAGTTGGTTGCCCCTTTCCCATGGGAGGGTCTTACTGCAAGCACTCGCTGCGCGTTAGTGCAGGTCCCTCATTGGTTGTATTCTCTATTGGGCTTGCAGATCCCTGACTTCAGCATGACCTGGGCTCTGGTGAGTCGTGGCGGCACAGGTTCAGGCCACGCTGGCAAGTCATGCCAGTGTGGGTTTGGGCAGCTCCAGTGAGAGCACTGTGGCTCCTAATCTTAGCTGCTCTAGTGGTAGCCCCGGGACTGCTTGTTTGACCAGCTCTTTTCCCTTTAGTTTCTTCCTGGGTTAAGAAGATGCCTCTCCCTCTGTCTGGACCTCTCCAGGATGTTTTATTTGAGCATCTGAGTTGTCTCTCTCAGGGAAGCTCTGTATCCTGCTGCATACCAATCCGCCATCTTTAGCTCCTCCAAGACAAAGTCTTAATTATGATGTTCAGGCCTTAAACTCACTATAGCCACATTGGTCTTAAACTCATGGCAAATCCTCCTACCTTAGCCTTCTGATTCTTAGGATTACAAGTATGCACCATCATGCCTGGCTAGGGTCTTTAATTTTGGGTAGTTTAGAACTCTAAGAACAAATCAATATCTTTTTTTCTTGTGTCTTCATGGTGTGGTTTTAGTGACTATTCATATTATAGGAGGTAATTTGTTAGTTGTCTTTGTATGTATTTAAACTTATCTGGGTATCCTGATCCTTTAAATAGCATAAGACAAGTATATTTAAGGCCTATAATGAGTCACAAGATTGTTTCATAATAAAAATAATGTAGATTCCAATATTTTTTTGGTACCAGAGCTTCATAATAAAGAATCAAATAATTCCTAACAACAATTAAAAGAAGAGCTAAACCAGGCTTGGTACATGCCTGTATCTCAACAATCTGGGAGACTGAGGCAAAATGATCTCAAATTTTAGCCCAGTGTGGGCAACTTAGCAACCAAGCAAGATCCTCTCTCAAAACAAAAACTTAGAAAAGGGCAAAGCATGTATCTCAGTGCAGAGACCCTGAGTTCAATCCCCCGTACCACTGAGAAAATACTTTTCTCTTCCCTTTGTATCTATATCAATAGTGTCATAAGGGCATTTTTTAAAATTAAAAAAGTAGAAGTGTAGCCAGTGCCTAAGTACCTAGTCATGGAGAACTTGTAGAAATATTTTTAGTAGTGTTCAAAAATTTTAGCTTTGACTTTTTAAAAGTGTTAGAATCTACTTACATTACTTTATGAAATTTTCAATCTCTAGTGTGAGGGTGTTTGCTACCAATAGAAAATTGAAATCTCTCAAATTGTTTTCTTAATCTAAAAATATACACTACACAATATTTTATAGTATAATTGGCAGCAACAAAAAGATAAGGGAAGATATATTTTACTGTTTCTGGTATTGCATGATGACCTGCTATGAATGCCTTAGTACAGAGGGCAGGTTCCCACTGATTGGTTCAGCTCTCTGCCATCTTCATTGACTGCTTTCATCCTCTGTTCACGTCTTCCTGCGACAGTAGAGCTTTTTTTGACATACTGCAATATCAAAGAGAATAATTTCCTGAAATATCTTAATACACTCTCAATTATGTTGAATAAATTTGTCATAATTGCCTAACATATATATTAAATGGTATATTTTTAAGTTGTAGTTTGATTTTCAAAAATAAATCCAGTCCCACTTGCTATAATTTTTGATGTGCAAGTCCTTGACTTCAGAGATTTTTAGGAAAGCATAAAATGCATC